CCCTCCTGCTGTTTGCTCCTTTAAGTAGCTTGAATGCTTTATTGTTGCATTACACGAGTGTGGTGCTTTGCACAGAGGGTGTTGGGGACTTAGCTGGAGACTGGTACTACCCCTATGCAAGCAATAAGATAAATAGTCTTCTGGGCTTTCTGTGGTATGTGTTAGTGTAACACCAAATCAGCAGGTTTGTGAATGGATGTATGGTTTTAATATCCTTTGTGAAGCAAACAGCATTTTTTGAAAGAACTGCCCCCCCCCCCTCCCCCCGAAAACCCCTAAAACCTAGATAACAAAATACCCCATACTAAAACATCAAACCTGCAGCCAGAGCAAGATCAAAGTCATATTTCTGAGTCCCTGCAGATTTGGGGTGCCTCATTGATTATATATAACTGAAGAAGTCTTGAGGGTCTGATATTTGAAAGCACCCAGTGTGCTTACTATTTCTCTAGATGTTCCAAAAAGCACAGAATCATGTCAACGCCCCAATTTTTTAGATGGCAGAAAAGAAAGATGGAGCTGTGTGTGAGATGAATACTAAAACTGTGTTCTTTCATGTAGCCAGCAGCACAAAATAAGCAAATTAAAAATGGATTTTTTTTCAGCCAGTTATTAGAAGAATTGCTTGTTTTCAGAAAGATTTTCCCCTTCTTTTATCAGTCCAGTTTTTAATCTCTTGAATTAAATCTAGAATTACTATGGATTCACAGTCTATAGAAGAACGATAGGGATACTCACTTTTTTTGTCTTGTCATTTCCTTACTGTAAAAGAGTAAACTGATCAAATATTCAGTACAAATGTAGCAGCTATTTTTAAGATAATGAACAAATAAGCAAAGAGGAACAACAAAAAGTGCTAAAGAGGAAAAATACCTCACTTTTTGATTCTTTTTTTGGTAATTGCACTTTATGACAGAAGACATTTTCTTAAGTGTCAAAGCTTCACCCACTCTGATTTGTTACTACTTGTGGGTTTCAAATATTAATTTCATAACTTTGCTCTTACATCAGGCCTGCAATTTATAATGTGCTTTACAGAATCTGATCTGATGCATTCCCCGAAGCAAGTAATCAAGTCCATCCAAATTGATTCTCCCATTGATTTCCGAGCCTGTAAATTTGTGTGGATTGCAGCACTTTATTTGCTCCTTTGCTCCTGGCTCCATTATAGTGAATCTTCCTTTCTTCTTTCTCTGCCTTTTTAGTGCCTTCACTGTTCTCCTTCACAGATCCACTGTGTCAATTTATTCTGTTCTCTCTTTTCTTTGCTCTTTTTTCTCCTTTCTTTCTCTTTTCCCTTCTGCTGCCTTCTGTCAGTCCAGGAATGTTTTCATCTCACACTCCTTTCTAATTTCTGCTTGATTTCCCCTGCTGCTCTTCTCTGTTTGTATTTGGTACAGAGCTGCAGGAGGGCATAAAGCATGCACACACACAAAATTGAAGTGCTAGTACGCTTTGTTAGCACCTAGAAACTTACCTTCAGCCGTATTTATCGCAGAAGAAATTGTAAATGGCAGAAGTATTTAAAGCTGGAGGCAGAAACACGCATTTCAGAAACACTGGGTGTTAAGACTGTTGCTTTTTCTTAGGTAGCTACAGAGTGCCACCTATTGTCTCCAGACAAAACAGTGAGCTTTTAAGTAAGTTACCCTGAAATTGCCTTTCAGCTGCTGTATTCTGCAGAGAGAGAGCTACACGTTTTTACTGAGTGCTTTTACTGCAGGAAAACAGCGTTCACATTCGAGTTGCTTTTCTTTTGCTTTTTACTCTCCCGTCACCATGTCATCTTTAAGTCTTTGGTTCCATTGCCTCCTTCACAGCATTTGTCTGCGTTCTGGCTGGAGTTCTTTCGTGTGTATTAGAATTATCTTCATAAAGAGTTTTAATAGGAGCAAAAGAGCTTTTCCTGATGTTGCTTCCCAGATAGTTAAGATAGTTCTTAGATCTTCTTAACCATCACATTAAAAGAGTTGACTATCAATTTTTATATCAGGCAAATAAATATGTGACATCCCCATCGCCATCTTTATCAAAACTAGCCTTTTCTTTGCGTGAGGCTAAAGCATTGACAGATAACTCATTTCTGCATTACTTTTAGGAGATGACCTGATCAGTGGCAGGTATTGTAGTTTGTTTGCTTAAGAAACTGTTTTCCTACTTCAATTTCATAACATCCTACAAACCTTTATTATCATCATAAGGTGTTTTTCATTTTCACACTAAGTACACTATGCAGATGGGAACAATTACTTATATTTAAAAATACTTATTGTATTATGATGAATTGGCATATGCCTTTAGTTCTGTAGGTTTTGCAGTACAGTTGTGGCTAAAGGTTACTTCTGTGATGATGACAACATTTGCATGTTCATGAATCCACCTTTCAGATTCTGCAGGCTACTCAGTTAGTAAAGAAGTAGGAAGAGATGTTGTGGTTGGTCAGAGTCTCTACAGCCAAATTTGAGTCATTACCAGAATGACCTGCTTAGGCTAAAGAGCAGGAGCCAAACCTCATTGTGTTCTAATCACGGCTTCTGACATTTCCCTATTATTGTTTGAGCTTCCTCTGAACACAGTGATCCAAGAGCAGAGTGTGAGTTTTGCTGTCAAAAGGCCAAAATCACAAAATAGCACTGACAGCGTTTTAGACATAAATCTGCTGACTTGATCAGAGACAGGGCTTAATAACTGGGCCAACTTTTTGTTGAGCTACACAGCTTACTATTCAGTAGATACTCAGTTGTATTGACCTAGTTTTCTCCCTAGCACTGGCTTTCAACTATTTGATCCAAGCTGCCTGTCATATGTGGAAATACTGAGTTTCATCTTGAGCAAGAGCTCTTCTGATTTCTCACCAGCAGCGCATGCAAATGTATTTGTTTTACTTTACTGCCTCTTTTTCCTCAACATTCAGGTTAATAATAATGGCAGTCTGTCATGGTTTAAATCCACACTGTGTGTGTAAATCCAAATTAACTCTATCCCGGCTGAAACCAGGACACAGTCGCTCAGCTCTTGCGAAGTACTTTTGATGTGTAGGACTCGAGATGACAAGTGTCACCGTACCATTTTGTGGATGAGGAAATTGAAGCTGGAAGAACGAATGTCTTGCCAAGATCACTCAGCAGCGCATGGACTAAGCGGGGAAAGGAATCCATGCTTCCAGCTTGCTGCCCTAGTTCTTCTCCAACCCTCAGGCCACCCTTCCTAATTAAAAATCTGTTTAGAATTCTTAGACCTGGATTACATGATATCTAATCGCATGTACTTAAGAAGGTGCTAAAAGTGTTGCTCGAAGGCAAATCAACAGCAATGATGCAGAAGAAAACTCCCTTTAAAAATGCTTTAAGAATATACAAACTCAAGGCAGTATGTCTTTTTCTCAGCACTGTATTTTTAAAGGCTTGTTTTGTGGCTGTACATGTAAAGAAATTGTTGTAAGAAGGAGGAACATATGGAGTAGGACCAGTACTTTCAGTAAAGGTTACAATCACCTTCAAAAGTGTTGTAAAAAATTGCTTTGTTTTTTTCTTTCAGAAATGTTAAGCTTCGGTTTCAGAAAGTTAAGATGTTATTTAAAGATTGTGATCAAGCTGGGGATACAGGTTGAACATTAGCACTGGACAAAGATGAACAAAGACCTACTGATTTCAGAATTGTCATGTAATGACTAATTCTCCCTGCAGAGAGCTATAAGACTTACATCAAATATAACATCGCCCAATTAGTCACTTCTCTCTCTCTCTCTCCATTCATATGACATAAAACTGTTATATAGTACAGAGGAAAAATTGGATCTTTTCCATCAGAGTAATTCTGGAGCATGTTTTTGTAGGTGGGGTCTGTCTGTGTCTTTACAGTTGTCACTTTGCTGGTAACTTATACTTGTAAAAGCTGAGAATTAGAACATCTCATTTGTCTGTAAATACATGGGTTTGTGAGTATTTGCAGGGCTGGGCTTAACATTTACACATACTAATATAACAGCATTCACACTTCTTCTCAAAAGTAAATTGTTAGATTTAAATGTAAATTTGAAATGGGGTAAGTGCCAATGAATATTGGAGTTGTATATGTATATATGGTTGTGTTTATTTGTGTAAACAGATCTGAGACCTCCTGTGTAGAGTGGAGGTTGGGGACTGGAATACCTGGGACACTTTCTCATGGATCGTACCTTGATTGCTTAGGAAAGTCATCTCTTTCTGGACAAAAGTTCTTGCATCAGTAAAATGCATGTTATTATGTTTGTATCCTTTAGGGCATATTTTCAGTTCACAGATGGAAAGTGCTGTAGTAGATGTAGCTGTTACTATTTATTGATTTCCATCAAAATGACCAACTTTTTAAACCAGTAAGGCAAAAGCAGCTATCCCTTGGTCTGGTTCAGTGACAAAACGGCCATGTGACTTTACAACTGCAAGCGCTTGATAATGGCAAGCCAGTTTTTCATGAAGTTCTGCTCTATTAGCTTGATCATAGAAATGTTATTTGCTTCAAATCTGTCAAGATCGAGCACACTTGCTATTGCTTTGCCTAGAGTTTTGGGTTTTTTCTTTGTTCATTTGTTTAAAAAGCAAGACTAGAACTTACAATGAAAACATTGCAATGTAAAGATTGATTCTACTTGCATATAATATTGTTACAAATTAGATTATAACACTTTCAGTGTTTTGGTTTTCAATAAACCCATCACAATGTATTGAAAATAACTGCAGTGGGCTGAAATTAAGAGAGATGTTTGAATTCAACCATGGGGAAGAAGAAAATAATAATGCTGGTTAATAAAATAATAATGCTGAAAATAATGAAAGGTGCTGGTTAATTCCTATCTTACCTGTCTCCACTTAACAGATTTATCTCATTTATTAAATGGTTTCTTTAGGTAATAACAAGCCATTGTGTCTTAAGCAAAATGTAGTATGCTTCAGATGCCTTGAAAAATACATCCACACTGAGAATTTTGAATGGATAAACATTATCATTTTGTTTCTATACAGAGAGCCTCGAAAAATCATCCTGCACAAGGGCTCCACAGGACTTGGTTTTAACATAGTGGGAGGAGAAGACGGGGAAGGCATTTTCGTGTCTTTCATCCTAGCAGGCGGGCCTGCCGATCTCAGCGGAGAACTGCAGCGAGGGGATCAAATCTTGTCTGTAAGTACTTGTGCTGGGCTCTGCTGGCCGACTACTTCTTCTTGTTCTTTGTCTGTACTGCAGGGGACACACAAAGAAGTCTTTTTTGGTTTCTGTGTTGTGTAATCCAAGCTGGAAGCAACTTATCACTGAGTATTTTGTTTATTTACTCTTAGGTTTTATAGCATTTGTTAATGGTGTTACTTGCACTTAGCTCAGAATGAGACTTTTCTGTGCCTAACCCTATCTACAGTATGGCAACAATGCAGAGAGGACCTAAACACAGTGTAGACCTCAGCATCCCCCGATGTAGCCCATCATCCAGTTCTATTTTGCCGAAAATGCACTACTTAGTCCACAGATGTTTCTCAATTTCAGCTTTTCTTTGAGGAGAAGCAGCACAATGAAATCCTCTAGGCTGGGGGCGCCATCTAGTGTGCATTGAACTGCTTAGCAAATGGCCCACTGCAAGAAGTAGATTAATTAGGTTACGTTAATTGTCTCTGTGCCTCTAATGAATTTGGTGATCACTCTGGAATTAATTTCCAAATTTTAGAGGATAAAAGGCTCTCTAGCCTGAGGTTATATTTTGCATACTTAGTCTCAAAATTTTTCTTTCGTGTATATATTGATGGCAGATTTATGGTTTAGGCTCTGTCAAATAATTGAACATCTGACTGTAACAATCTGAATGTAAAGGATTTTGAACGTCAATGGAAGCCTTGCAAATGTAGTTCAACATCCATTCACATTATGCCGCCTCACAGTAAAAAGAAACTGTCTCAAACTGATACAGTTGTGGCTGTTCCATGCAAAGTACGTACACAGCCTTAAGGCAAAGCACTGAAACACAGGAATTATTCATCCCAGATGAGTGATGGACACACTAGGCTGCAGTGTCCCCCTCACTCACTCTGTTGTGCTTTCTTGTCCCTGTGAATCTTGCATCCTTGGGTGCACTTTGGTTCATGTTGGAGTAGAAGATGGCTTTAGCCTGGACGTTGCATGGTTATGTGGCACTTTCCTAGTCAATGTTTAAACCCATGAGGAAGCTGGAGCTGCTTTTCCTGCACTGCTAAGGAGTGTCTTGGTCACTGGCATATTCTATGAAAAACAAATTCACCTTCACCTGCCAAAGTTTTGGTGTGAAAAGGTGGCTAAGGCTCTTTTGCAGTATATAGGGCGAGTTAGCACCAAAGGGATGCAGTAACCTGAAGCTGTGAGGATTGTAGGGAGTACGTTTTATCTAGACCTGTTCCTTGACAATGCTTTAACAAAAATTGAAAAAGGGCAAGTAAAAGATGTTTAGGTGCCTTAAAGAGCTCCCTGAGCAGAAAGTTTGTAGGAAACTGCGAGAAAACCAAAATAAACTCTTACAAGGTTGTCAGCATGAAGAGATAAGGAAGTCAAAAGCCAAGAACACCACAGCCAAGAAATCCAAAGAAAAGAACTGGAATTTTTTTCAGGACCATTTGGTAATTTATTTGCCCTTGGCTAAATGCAGCAAAGTAAATCTGACTGAAAGGGCACCATGAGATCAAAACCTGTCACAATACATTGTATTCAGAAATCCAGATACAAGTTTAAAAGTCCATTTTCCTTTATATTTAAGTAGGGATACATTTATCACTGTACGGTACTGCCACAATTAAATTTTTAACTCCAATTTTTGTCTGCTTTGTATCAATGTTGTCCATAAGTTCTAATTACAGTTACCACTGTTGCTGCAGCAGTTAGGTGTCATGCAAGAGTAGGTTATTTGTTCGTTAAGCAGAGAGGAGTGGAAATTATTGCTACATGAGACTGCATGCCTATCCCCAGGCAATCACCAAGTTAGGCACTGCTTACTTATTTAGTCAGAAATAACTATTATGGATCCAGTTTTCCATATTCAGACAAAACAAATTTCATGCACAGGCTACTTTTAGAGCTGGTTAATCTTAGACCATTGTCTGCTGAAAAGTCCTAGATACCTTAATTTTATAAGGCCTGTAAGAAGTAGGTCTGTTTGTTTATTCTTTCTTGTCTCATCCCTCAGAAACACTTATTTCCCTATAGAAATAATTTGCCCATTTGATTCTCAAAACATGACAATCTGATTCACGAGGAACAGATAGCACCCTCAAAGCTAGTATTGAATGCTCCATCCCTGGCAGTGTTCAAGGCGAGGTTGGACAGAGCTTGGAGCAACCTGCTCTAGTGGAAGGTGTCCCTGCCCATGGCAGGGGCTTGGAACTGGATGATCTTAAGGTCCTTTTCAAGCCAAACCTGCACCAGGGGAGGTTTAGGCTGGATACTGGAAACAATTCCTTCCCCAAAGGGTGCTCAGGCATTGGATCAGGCTGCCCAGAGCAGTGGGGGAGTCACTGTCCCTGGAAGTGTTCAAAGAGTGTGTAGATGAGGCCCTCAATGACATGGTTTAGTGGTGGACTTGGCAGTGCTGAGGTTACAGTTGGACTTGATGATCTTAAAGATCTTTCCCAATGTAGCTGATTCTATGATAGAGAGGGCTCCAAGCCTGCAGCCATCCAGGGCACTGTGAAAGATTGTGACACAGCCTTGGCCCCACTGAGTGAAATTTGAGTTTATGTTTGCCAAATGCCACCAGATGGCATCACTGGATCAGTAATGTCAGAGATCTGCCTTTGGAAACTGGCTAAAACCTTGGGAAAAGCAGTGATAGCTGTAATTTTTGTTTTCAGTTAATTGACTGGAAATGTTTAAAACTTATCTCAGAAAGCAGGTTCGTATTCCCAATTGCTTCTGTGCGGAGAGACAAAATGAATCCTACCTTGAAGG